ATAAATAATTTTTCTAATAATAATGACAATAAATAAAATATTTTTTTATAACAAAATAAATAAATATGATAATATAAATATTTTTATTTAGTATTTTTAAATAAAATTATATTTCAAAAAATTAACTTTAAATTTTTTCTTTTATAAAACAACCTTTATTTTTATTTTATTTCTTCCCTTCTTCATTACGCTCACACTTTTTTTTCCTCTTCGTTTTTTCTTCTTTACCCAACACAATATTAGTGTGTTGTATCTCTTGTAAAGGTGAAAATATAAATGTAAAAAGCTATTAAAGTAAAAGGGTGGTCATGTGGCAAACGTCGCTGTATAGTGCATAGTTTAAAAATAATAAATGGTTTTTAAAATTGCATTAAATTAGTCGATGAAGGACAACCACAATATATATAGCGAAAATTAATGCAACAAAATTTGTGCAAATGTTACGTAAGATGTAATAAGTGAAGTATGGTTTAGTTTGACTTTATTTCATTTTGCATACAGGAACCCAAACTGGACCAAATTGCATTAAATAAGTTGAATAAATTACATTCCCTCCCTCATAGATTCTTAGATTACACTCTTCTCTCTTTAAATATTTGTGCTTTTGTCGCAATTTTTTTTTAAATATTTAATGTGTTTTGTCTAGCAAAGGTAAAAATTCGTGTAAAAAACTATTAAAATAAAAGGGTGATGGACCACGTGGCAACATCACCCAAGTGAATTTTTATAATTAAATTTTAAATTGGATTCAACTAGTCAAAAAGTCAATAAAGGATAACCACAATACATATAGTGAACTGAATTATCAAAACGAAATTTGCTCAAGTGTTACGTAAAATGTAATAAGTGGTGTTTAGTTTAGTTTTACCTATGAGAATCGAAACTCGACCAATAAGTTTAATATATTAGTACATCTCTCTCTTTCGTAGATTCTTAAATTACAATCCTATCCTTTAAATGTGTTTCTGTTGCAACTTCTTTTTTTGTTTAAATATTTAGTGTGTTTCGTCTCTTACATAGGTGAAAATATGTGTGTAAAAAGCTTACAAGAAAAAGGTGATAGGTGATGTCACCCTAGTGAATAGTTTAATTTGTACAAATGTTGCAAAATATGTAACAAGTGATTTGCAATTTAGTTTGACTTGATTCAGTTTTACGTATCAGAACCGAAACTAAATCAAATTGTATGAAAGAAGTTACACCAATTATATAGGTTTTTATATAGAAATGGGTTTATTGAAAACTGAATATCTATAGCTATGGCTATAGCTATTCCATAGCAGCAAGGGTGCATCTTATTATCTAATATATCTAGTTAGGAGTAGTTACATCACGGAAACAAATGGAGGAAAAAGACTACCAGAGCAGTCACAATCAATCCTTGTTAAATACTAATGAAAGCTACATTGCCCTGAGACCAATAAATGGCAGACATTATCAAAAATTGGTGACGCGTTAATATGTTCGTCCACACATTACAACTTTCCTCAATTTAATGTTTGTAGAGAAATGGTGACGTGGATACACGTAGGCAGCAGCATGTGAGAGCATAATGGAAAAACAGTGCAAGTTGCCAAATGGGGTCCAAATCTTGGTTAATATTACAATAATAGTTGACCATCATAAGAGCATCATTATTTGTACACTTAATTAAACCAACAATGCCAACCTAGATAAAATATTATTTTGGTACACAGCAACAGCAGTAACCATGATCATGTTCATGTTCAGTCTTTGCAGAGGTAAATAGAGTTAAAACTGTCCTTCCACTACTCAGATGCTGCATCATATATTATTTTAAGCATAAATGCTCAGCGGGCCTGTTTTATTTGATGCATCCAGCCCATGTTCACCATTCCTAGTTCCAGTGATCCAGACCCTGCAGAAAATATTAGGAGGAAAGGTTATAACTTTTTATTTTTTGGAGGGTAAGGTTACACACTTGTACATAACAACTTTGGGATAATTCTAAAATATCACTACTTTTACGCTATGATAGATATTTTATTGGTATGCTCATCTTAATGGTTTTGCCAAAAGTTTTCTTACTTTCCTTTTCTGTTTGGTCGCCTGAGCTATGATCCATTTCCAACAAGACATATCAACATATATTCATTTACAAAGGTGAAGATAAGTGTGTAGCAAGACTGAACTTATTGTCTTTCTCACCTTTTAATGTTCTTGTTGCCTGAATCTGTTAGAATTGTCAATCTTTTTGCTGTCTTCATGAAGTCACTGCAATAAGATCACAAGAGAAACAAAAACCCAATAAATATAGGACTAAGATAAAAACATGCATCTGAAAGGTACAAATAAAATGATTCATTTGACACAAGATGGAAAAATAGGGAAAATATTATACCTGAAGGGTTCTTCTCCAGTTTGCTTAACAGCACCTGTTGCATCACGGTAGAGAACATGGTTTAAAATCTCAGATCTTTCTATGCCAAACATGTTGGCTAGTCTCCTATACAGCTCTTCATAAGAACCAAGATGTGATAAGTCTAGGGTCCTTCCTACATCTTCTGACTCCAAGAAAACCTTGCAATGACCAGTGTCCAAGCCAAGGTGCCAAGAAAACTCAGCAGCAGAAGCTTTTCCTGGTGAAAACTGTTGTGAGAGTGCAGATTGGGAGTCATCCAAAACGCACTTCTCTTTGTCCTTATCATCATCTAGTGAATTTTTTCTGTGAGACAACACCTCGCTAGAAATTTGTTGCTCCGTGAGAATTGGCTGACCAAAAAGCAAAAACTGGTGTTTCTTAACAACATCATCAGATTTCTCCAAACTCTTGCTAGATTTCCCCATGGTGAGCAAGCATGATAAGTTTTCTTTGCTCTTATCATGGTTGGCTATGTTACCATTTGAAATTCCACTATAAAGTTCAAGTTGCTGGATATTAGTTGGAAGCAACCCCAGCTGCAGTTTATTGTTTAGGTGGAAATCTGTTAGAGATATTCCAAATTGAGCATGCCTGGCTCCCTGTATGCTTGCAGGAGCATTATCCGAAAAGGGGCTGTTAGGCCCAAGGTGGTTCCCTGAAAACGCTGGTATCGGAAACTGAACATCAAGGGGGAAGTCCGGGTGCTGTGGAAACCGCAGCTTCTTCCTTGGTGGAGAGAAGGGTGTGAAATTGATGACTGGCATGTTTGATACCAATTCAACCAACCACGGGCTAACACGCTTCACATTTTGTAGTAAATCTGGCTCATCCCAAGTGACCTGCAGAGATAACAGTAGCAGCAAGATCAACAACATTGCACAGCATAATTTTCAACAAAACAAAATCAAATCCAACCGCAATGTTAATGCAATAAAGCACAACAAGCACACAAAACCAAATAACATTTCCTCAATCAACATTTGGCATTTCAACCATCCTCATAATCATAAGATTCACGGGTTAACAACTGCATCTGAATTACACCTCACCAACAACATGCTTGGAACAACACATCTCAAAAAGCATTTTCTCCAAATTAATTACCAAAACAAACACAAGACATAGCATCCAACGCGTGTTTGGATGAACGTTTACAAAAAATGATTTTGAAATAATGTCATGTGGTAGCAAGTCGGTAGTAAAACCAAGTGTAAAATCTTTGATCCAAACCCTAAACTATATAAAGCGCATGTCTATGATCCAAGTTTGAGTAAGAATCAGATGAAAATTAATGCAAAAGCAAGTAATTGTTTCCACATGGAACCAAAAAGGATTGAATTCCTAAACACGGAACAAGAAACCATAAGAACATTTATCTAAAATGGTATTTGAAGGCAAATAAGAATGATCTGACATGACTCAGAAAGAGTAGTACCTGAAGAAGCCTCCAAGGGGAATTAGGCCAGCGGATGGGGTCAAGAACCTGAACAGAAGCAATGGTTCCCATGAACCAGCTTATCCGGGAAGAGTCCTCAGTTTCGAAGGCCATCTTGAACCTCATCCCAGAAGACCACTGAATCCTCATAGCAGCCCTGACAGAAGAAGCCTTAATGCAAAACTCAGGAGTGCTAGCTCTAGGGTAATACACAACCTCAAAGGGCTTATTACTCGCAGCAAGAGTCGAAGCTTCAACCACAGCCTCAGGACTCACCCTAACCCTCCCACCACCATTCCTCAAATGCTTGTTCTCCTCCCTCAAGAAAAAAGAGAAAGGCCCATAAGGCCCAATTCCACAATTCCCAGACCCAGAAGCAGAACTCCACACAGATGAACAAGCCTCAGACCCACCAATTCCCTTCTTCGCCCTCCGAATCCCAACGCACAGCTCACCATTTTCGGCCCTCAGAAACACAACGGAATCCCCAGCAACCAGTTTCTTCTGGTTCACGAAACTGCTCCAACCGGTCGTCAAAAGGTGCCGACGCGGCGTCCCTCGGTAAATGTGCCGGAACTTCCACATCTCGCCGTGCACGTCCTTCGCCACCACCGTCTGCACCGGCGGCTCCGCCGTGTCCCACATAAGAGC